CATGTTCATTTTGCTTTTACTTCCCTTGCCTTTGAGGTCAAATTTATAAAATCCTCTTTAAGTCCAAGGTCCTTGAGTTTAGTTCCTAAGTTTTTTTCTATGCATTATATTGATTCCAGTCTTATTTTCAGGTCCTTAATCCATTTTGAGTTAATTTTGGTGTGTGGTTATAGACAACAGTCTAGTTTCATTCTTTTGCAGGTGGCCTTCCAATTTTCCCAGCACCATTTATTGAAGAGGCTTTCCTTTCTCCACTGTATGTTTTTGGCTTTTTTGTTGAAAATTATTTGTCCATATAAATATGGTTTACTTCTGGACTCTCGATTCTGTTCCACACTGGTTCGTGTGTGCAAAGACCATCATCCCTGTCACATGTGGTCACTTGAAGTCTCTATTGAGCTAGTATTTTGACAGAGACTTTCTTGAATAACAGGAGCTAAAAACAACTGAACCCCCTCCTCCAACTCCATCTCTCCCAGACTGGCTCTGTGCTGGGGCGCTCCTTCAACACTTGGCCAGAGTTTATAACTCTACCTTGGCCTTTATTTTCTGCTTGGACTGAGCCCAGAGACTAGGAAGAGGTGAATGAAAGCCAGGGGTCTTATCGGATCCTTTCTGAGCACGCATCCTGTCCTGGCCATGCATGTGGCTTTCTAGATTCCCTAGTACACACTGTCACGCCATCACACCTGATGAGGCATTTACTTTCTCAGCTTAGCACCGAGACACACTGCTTTAGCACCCCTACAGGGCGGAGCTGAATAAGAACAGGCCCAAGGCCTACATGCCAGCCAAGCCAGGTGGCATGAGACTTCAGTTACCCGGGGTGGTATCAGTTATCTGGGACTGCCACCTCACATGTGGGATCATTTTCTGCGATACCAACAAAGCATTATATAACTTCCAGTCTTTTAGTGAGAAATTTATTTCCCTTGTAGTTCCCATTCCAACTTTCTCATTTTATGAAGGAGAAAAATCTCAGTTGGTTGTTAGTACATCCGACTCCTGTAATACCCCTTAACCTCCCTGTGTACAGTGAGTGAGCCTCGGGCTGTCTCTGCAGGCCATAGTATTGAGCTGCAATTTTAAAACACTGTTTGGTTTTTATTGATTCATTTTTAGAGTTACTTTCTACTTATATCGAATATAAATATTCTTTTTTAAATGCATTAAATTTAAAAAGTGAGTCAACTTAAAAAAATATTAAGTAGTTAACAGTACAAGATATACACAGATCTGGCAAAAATCATGAAGGTGATATGCTGGTAACTGAACTTTGGGGAATATTGTTCTAGAATACGGACTTTGAGCTCAAAAACTTTCTATCTCATGCTTTTACGATTCCTGGGGTTTATCTGTTCAACTGGTTGTTGTTCTCTAATATATATTATTTTTGAAAAATCTCAACTTTATTTTAGCTGAGGAGGAAAGGGATTTATTTTCATCTGAGTTAAGACAAGAAAAACAGAAGGGCTCTAGAGGTTAGTGGCTTGGATACAACTGGCAAATGGAAAAGGAGTGACGTGGAGTAAAGTGAAAAACCAGGGACAGAACATTCCAGTACGGTGCAAAGTGCTGTTCCCTTCCCTCCAGGCTCTCAAATACAAGTCTGGAAATTCAGTTACTAAGATGATCTTATAATGGAGAAGAAAGAGAAAGGGGGAAAGCTGCAAATTTTTTTTTAATGTTTATCTTTAAAAAAAAAAAGTTATAAAATTTAAATAGTTGACTCAGTTAAAAATCTATTGTTGCAAAATTTAACAAATTTAAAAGATCTCTGGATCTCTTGACTCCAAGTCCAATTCTCTCTACTCTGACCCTTCATTTCTTATGGAGCCTACACTTTTAGGTTTCTCATTAGCAAACAAGATCTGAGGTAATTTGTAAGGAATCAGCACTTCGAGTGTATGGAGCTCTGGCTGAGGTAGCAGAAGGCCTGGCAGGGCTGAGTGCCCCATGAAGGCCACACCTGGGAGAGCCCACTGCTGCCAGCACTCCACACCGGACCTGTGAGGCGAACGTGGGGCTCACTCGTTGCCCTGTCAGTCGTCCTGGTCTCTTCTGGGGACTGCTGACTGGCCCGAAGCCTGGCTCTCCTCGTGCCAGCCACATCCTTGGCTTCATTCTATTTTGATTCTGGTCAGTTCCCATCTTCCTTCTTCACAGAGTTTCAGACCCCAGGAGTGAAACTATAAGAGACCGCCAACACACGGAGATTACGCTGCTTTGGCCACAACAAGAAGTCATCGACCCCTCTGCCACTCCCAATCTCCATTGTGAGGGGCCTCTGGCCCTGGCCAGGCCCAACCCTTGGCCTCTTTCTCCTCCTTAGCTATCCTTGTGAGCATGGGTACCTTCTCGAGGCTGCGCCGATGTCCCACGCTGATGAACGTCATGCCCAGCTGCTGGCCAATGCGGTAGAGCTCACTCTCCACCTCCTCGGTCAGGGCACTGGTGGCTTCATCAAGCACTGAGGGCAGAACCCATGGGAAGAGATGGTGTCCTGCCCCCACTTGCCTCTGCTTCTCCTCCAACCACTCGCTTTCTGGCTGGGACCCGGGGGAGGCTGAAAGCTGTTCTGGCTTATGGAAACCCTGCCTTAGGGAGAATGGGCCATGGGAGCAGAGGCCAGGCTTCATGTAGGAAGCCTTTTGCCAGCAGAAGGACGAAATCCCTTGGCTTCCTGTACATAAGCACCAGCCACTGCCTGGGACCACTCAATCCAGGGAACCCTGATTACCCCAAGGATGTCAGTCCTTGGCAAAGTCCATGCCTACCATCCCTCTGCCAGGCACAGCTAGAGGAAATGCCCATTCACGAATGGCAGAGCATAAAGCCACAAGCCCTCTCAAGGCAGCTCCAGCTGCTACAAAGGCAGAAAGCTTAGGAATCAGTAGAGCAACACAGCCAGAGCTGCTCTGCGGATGCTGAGCACTGCTGCCTCTTGGGCAGAGTCCTGCCACCCTCTCCTGCCGGGGCAGATGCCCAGCCATGCATAGGTTTGCTCTTCTACCCATACCAACGCCACCCCAGTTTTTCATGAACACACGCTGCTACACCTAAGGGCATACACGATACCTGGCATGTGCACCTACAGGGTGGACCTCACCTGCATACTTTGGCTGCAGGTAGAAAAGCCGGGCAAAGGACAACCTCTGCATTTCTCCTGGGGACAGAACATCATACCTAACAAAAGGGAATGAGAAAAGATTGCTGGAGGAAGGAGGGTGTAGCTTGGCTTTTGCCCAGAATGGGTCTGGGCAGGAAGAGGTCCTCACTGCAGAGGCTGGCCCGAGGACAGACAGACGTCACCCCTCTTTCAACCACAGCCCCACTGCCACACAAGGTGATGCCAAAACTCTGCTTCCAAAGGCATGAAACCTGGACTTTGGAGTCAGGAGCCATTCTATCCCTTCACTGGGACCCTGGAACCCACTGCCTTTGTGGGAAACTGGATCTGGAGCACCCCAACCTCCTTACCAGTTCCAATCGACCTGCTGGTCCAGACCCTCTGTCCTTGCCACCAAGTTGGACTGTAACACACCCAGAGGAAATGATGTCCATAAAAGGGCGCATCCCTGCTTCCTGCCACCCTGAGGAACCTCCTCAGTCCCCACCACACATGTCTCTGGGACAGATCTACAAGCCCAGCGGCATACCGGGGTGAGGCTATGGGAGTAATCTGCCTCGGACAGGGAGGAACATCTTACCAACTACATTGCTTAGATTTGTTGGAGCATGGTGACAAGACAAAGCACATTTTCTTTATAATAATTTTATTTTAAAATTACTTACAGAGTGTGTGCCCCTTGTTGCCCAGACATGGCCAACAGTTCCCTCTGCCACTTTATATTCCCACTCTCCCTGCCTGAGGCTCGCACTTCCAGTCATGGGCCCAGGGACAGTAGGGCAGCTCTGCTGGGCCGCCAGCACCTGTGGTCTATGCTACCAGGTGGTCTTGGGCCTCAGGGTCCCGCTCTCACTTACCAGGCCTGCCAACTTCAAGAACCTCATGATCCTCTCATCATCGGTAGAACCTACAAGACAGAGAGGCTTTCTTCAAGAAATCAGCTCCTTCTGGGCAGCCAGAATAGATGGGACACATCATGTCAGTGGGGGTAGAGGTAGGAGCCCCAGAATCTGGGCTAAGGCTCTGAAGTGACAGGTTACAGATCTAATAAGGGAAGGGCCAGGTGAAGGAAGTCATCACTTCCCCTCCTGCAGTGGGTGTCTCTTCTCAAGGAAGGAAGACAAAGGTCAAGGTACAGGCCCCATAGTAGTAAACGGTTGGAGGAGGAGGGTACCCAACCTGAACCCAGAAGCCTGGCTGGGGCCTCTCCCAAAGGGCACAGCTGAGGCCAAGATCAGGGAGGCTAGGAAATATTGAGATGGGAGGACACGCCAGAGGAGGCCAGCTCACCTGAGTCCGGGTAGATCTCCTTCAGGGGATATATAACCTGGTAAAATAAAAACCATATGGGATAAGGGCCAACTAGAGGTGGGGCTGCACACAGCTTACCCTCCTTCAGAAACAGCCCCAGGAACCGCCAGAGGCCATGTTCCTCTCCACCTGAGGAGTAAGGGACACCCTGGCTGAGGGTCCCATGGGAGAGGCCAGGCCAGCAGACTATGGGGCAGGGCCCCCAGAATCCATCCTTGGTGTTCGACAAACATGTGTGATCTTTGGCTTGTGGCGCCACAGCTTAGCCCACCCCCCGGGAGTGGGTCTGAGTACACTGCCCAGCCCAGCCCATGGATGTGAATAAACATTCTCGGAGCCAGGGAGTTCTTGGGCACAGGCCATCTTACTAGACGTCCCCCACCCCTGCCCCCAATAACTCCCGAGGGCTAAGACCTGTCATACTACCAGAGGCTCCAGCTGTGGGTGGGGAAGGAAGGGAGGAGTGAGCCCTGAACTGGGCTGACCTGCTCCCGAAGGGTCCCATCAGTGAAGAATGGCTTTTGTGGCAGAAACAGCACTCCATGGGGTCCAAAGTCTGTCAGCATCTGCACTGAGCCTGCAGAGCCCACAGAAACCTCCATGTTGAGATCTCTCAGAGAAGGTAACTGCTTCGCACTCTCCTTCTCCAACAAAAAAGGCTGGATTCTAATGCACATACCTACACAGGTGTGTGCACACACACACGCACGCACGCACATGCACACGCATGCACGCATATGCACACACATGCACGGCCAGGCCAAGGCTGGCTCAGAGGTGGGGAGGGCCGGTTCTTACCCTGTGTGCTCGTCCAGAGGCCGCCCAGAACCCGGAGCAAGGAGGTCTTGCCGGTGCCCGTGTTGCCCGTGATGAGCAGGCTCTGCCCCTGGGAGATCTTCAGGCTCAGATCCTTGATTAAAGTTTTGTTAGAAGAGGGGGCAGAGATGGAGACCCGCTCCAGAAGGAAAGCTGTGTCTGTTGGCTCTACTGCTGGCCAGCCTGGGGCTCTGGAGTGAGAGAAGGGGGTGGGTGGGGAAGATAAGAAGTGTCAGTACTGCCAGGTGTGTGTGTTGTGGGGGGGGTGGTTCCTTTCCTTGGGGACACCATCTCTGGATCAGCAGGTTGTTATGAGCTGAATTGTGTCCTCAGACTCATATGTTGAAGTTCTAACCCCCAGTTTCTCAGAATGTAACCACATTTGGAGACAGGGTCTTTAAGAAGTGATTATGTTAAAATGAGGCCCTTAGGGTAGGGCCCTAACCCAATATGACTGGTGTCCTTTCAAGAAGAGGGAAGTAACAGGGCTGTACATGCAGAGAAAAGGCCATGTGAGGACTCAGTGAGAAAATGGCCATCTGCAAGCCAAGAAGGCAGGCCTCAGGAGAAAACAAGCCTGCCCAACACCTTGATCTTGGACTTTTAGACTGCAGAACTGTGAGGAAATAAATGTCTTTTGTTTGAGCCACCCAGTCTGTGGTATTTTGGTATAGCGGCCCAGGCAAACTCACACAGAAATGGAGCTGAGGCACCTACTTTGCGCCAGGCTGGTCAAAGCCTCACACGACTAGTCTTAGTCTCAGCATTCATGAATCACAGATATCATCCCCAACTTGGCAGGTGAGGAAAGCGAGTCAAGTGGCTAAGCAACTTGCTCAGGGTCACAGAGCTGAATTTGCCTAACTCTAATGTTGGTGGCATCACAGTGTGACTAGAGGGCTGAGGATAAGAACAGGAGTGGTAATATTAAAGGTTTTATTTTTTTTTTAAGTTTCTGGCCCTCCATGGATGCCCATCTACCCCAAGGAATAGCAACTCTGGTTTCCTATAGTCTCTGCGCCATCACCCCAGCCTCTGGGATCAGTTACATGAAGCTTTTATTTTGAACAGGAGCAACAGTTAAGGCATTCGTTCCTAAGGAGACAGTTAAGTGTAGGCCCTGGAATTCAGACTTTTTTCTTTTTGTGGTCACTGTCCAAGCACTTTCTAAGAACTATGATATCTAATCCTCACAACGACCCTAAGAGGAAGGTCATCTCTATAGAGATGAAGAAACCGAGACCTAGAACCCTTAAGTAATTTGCCCAAGAAAAGTGAGGACATGAAACAAATTCTCGATGCACAGAAAGGTCGGAAACATCACAGAGCCTGCAATGATACAAGAATAAAGACATCTCGGCGCCTGAGTGAGGCTTGGGGACGAAGAAGAGACAAGCCCTAGGAAAGGGGCAGGTGGCAGGGCTCGGCGGAGAATGAGGCAGGGCTACTATTCAGATTTTGTTACCTCAGGCCAGGCAGTGCTTGCACTGTTTCTATCATCAGGTGGGGGATGGCAGAAATGAACACCATGGATGCTGGAACAGCAACACTGACTGGGAACGTTTCTAAAGAAGTCTGGCACAACACAGACTTCTTTCATTTGCTCTGTACAACTCTGCTGCCCAACTGGGAAGGGGCAGGGCTCCAGGGGGAACCCAAGCTGGGCGGTTCTAGAGCCTGTGTTCTCAACCACTGCACACACTACTAGCCCACTACTCACCTGTGCAAGTCCCATTCGCTGTCGTCCAGGATCTCACTGTCCTGTGACTTCAGGGACATGTCCAGCAGGGCATCCTGAAGCTCCCCGATCCTGAGCAAAAAGTGAAAACCTGAGGTGGGTCTGGAGGCCCAGATGAAGGCGATATTCCTTTTGCTCTCATAACCACTAGTATATGGGGGAGATTTTCCATTCTTTTTCTTATTCAGCTACTGCTTCCGGTGGCACACACTTTGTTTAGAAAGTAGAGGGGTAGGATGCAACCTCACCTGTGTGTGTAACCAGCCACATCTGAGAGTGTGGTGGAGAGGTCGATGAGCCGGGTGAAGCAGCTGATGAGGTAAATGCAAACAAAGGCGTTCTGGACAGAACGAACAGCAGTGAGCACAGGCCTTGACTCCCAGGCCCTGGGCACTGGGGCAAAGGGCAGAGGGGGCAGCATGAGGAGGTCACCAGGAGGGATTCTCACCTTGCTGACTAGAGTGCTGAGCTCTGTGGGGCTCAGGTCTCCATAGATGCCACCGAAAATGGGGATGGCTATCACGACATAACTCAGGATGCTGCCCAAATAGTCAAACATGTTGACACCGACTGTAAAGACAGACTGCATGAGACCCGGGGAAACTTCTGTGCTCTGAGGGGAGTGGGAAGCCAAGCAGGGCTGAGCTATTCCCCAGATCCTCATTCTCCTGAGGCCACACACTGCAAAGGCGGTGGCTCCCCCTGGTGAATTCCTTCATCAGAGCAAATATGCCAGTGCAGAGAGAAAGAAGACAGAGAAGGGGGTCTATTCCAATCCCGTAGTTCCTGCCTCCCAGGGTTCCCTCCACCTACTGTACAGCCAGAGCTCCTTGGACATCAGCTCCCTCTGGGTCTGAAGGAGTCTCTGCAGCCTACGGTCTGTCCTCATGTGTTCCACGTGTCCAGCTCTGATGAGAAAGGCTGGGATGTCCATGGGGCCTGGAGAGCCTCAGCCAGGCTGGGGGCCCTCTGTCCCTCATCACACTCTTCTTTAAGGAAGTCCATCCAAACGATCTTCACTTCAGACCCTTTCCGCCACTAGCATCTATTCACTGCTTCATTCATTCAATATGGTATTGCCTGCAGAAAGAACCTGAACTCTAGATTGGGATGACCTGGTTCAAATCCTGGCTCTGGCCAGTTACCAGCTGGGTGTGACTGATGGGTTACTTGTCTTAGAGTCTGTTTTCTCTTCTGTAAAGTGGAGGTTATAATACCTAAGTAATAGGCTATAGTGGGAATTTCTGAATATAAAGTGCTAGGCACATGATGGACCCCCAATAAATAATAGCTGCTATTATTAAACAAATATACAGGGAGCAGTCACTGTGTAGCAGATGCTATGCTAGTAAGCCAGGGTGATGAAAAGGTGGTAAAGCAGTCCCTATCCTGGAGGAGCCCCCAGTTCAGGGGGTAGGCAGGTGTACTGCATCTTTCATCTGGAAATGGAAAGTATGACATGAGTAGAGTGTCTTCAGGGCTACGGCAACAAACAGGCTTGACTACCAAGGGAGTCTGGGAAGGCTCCCAGGATGAAGTGACTTTGGGCTTCAAGGATGGGCAGAAATTCTCCTGGCAGAAAAGGTGGGGGGAGGGTAGTGAGAAGCCATTTTACAGACAAAAAGACAGAGGCAGAGGCATTGCCTTAGGCATCAGCAAGACAATGAAATATTCACTCATTTCATTCTTGGAACAAATTTAGACCCCATGCTAGGCCGCTAAGTGGAAACACTAGCTTCAGAAACAAATCCCTGGACCTAAGAATGAGGCAGACAAGGACAGTGAGAGATAAGGGGAGAGGGTCATAGCCAAGTGTGAGGTTGCTCAACCCTGGGCTAGATGGAGGCGGGAGGGTTATACCGTTCGTCTTCTCTGCCACCTCCACTAGCAGCTCTGATGGGGCAGGAGGGGAACTATCCCAACTAGACTCACCTGAAAAAAGCAGCAGCCTCAGCATTCACCCGGATCTGCATGTGCTTGAACCTGGGCAGACCAAAGGGAAATATGTGCTGACAGTGGGCAGTACTGGCCCCTCTCCTTTCGAAGACCTGGATTAAGAAGACCTTCAAACCAAGAGGGGCCCAGCTCCACCCTGAAACTGGCTGCCTCAGCCTGACCCTTTCCTGGACTGTCACAGGGTGGTAGGAGCCCTGCAAACAGGGTGGCCCCTTGCCTCGCTCCAGAGAGAGCAGGTGCCCTAACCGCCTCCTTCTCCCACAGCTGGAAGGAGGAGGCCAGGAAGCACGGAGTAGGGGCTGGATTCATTGGCTGGGAACAGAGCACATAAAAAGGCCAAGGGGTGATGATGATGGCCAACCAGACAGCATTCTCATACTTCTCATATGTCTTTAATCCTCCTCACAATTCTTTTAAATAATGGTATCATCCCTATTTTAGCGATGGGAAACCAAGTTTAGATAGGTTAAAGACCTTGCCCAAGAGCACATGGCTAGTAAGTGGTACAGCTGGGATTTGAACTTAGGCAGCCTTACTCCAGACTCCATTCCTTAATCATCATGACCAGCTCAGAAACCTCAAGCAAGGGACACACACCTGAAATCCCCCTCTAGCTTTTCTTGCTGTACCAGCTTCACCACAATGGGCCCCATCAACATTTTGTTCACCACGGTTCCAAAGATGAAATACCCGAAGATGCTCACGGGTCCGAGCCAGCCTGTGCTGAAAGGCAGAGAGGGAGGGTGGGGGGCGGCCACATACCCCCGCAGGCCTCAGCCCTGACTCCTGCCCCCAGCTGTCAGAGCATCAGGATCCCTGTCACACTGAAATACCACAGGGCCAAAGGGATGGCAGGGGCCCAAGCACATGAGACAGGAAGACTTCTGGGTGCAGGTGGGAAGAGGGGAAGACTAGTCTCTTTTGGACCTTGACCTGGGAGAGCTTGTGTGAGTGAGGGACCTCTGGGATACAGAGGTGGGGGAGCAGGTGGGGGAGCAGGAGGGATTCTGGCAAGAGGAGAGGCTTCACCTTTGGAAGCACTGATAGGTGTAATAGACGAGGGTGAAGGGGGAGATGATCAGCTGGCTGGCCATGCTGCTGAGCTGTCGGCAGAACCGCTCCACGTCCTGGCTGATGCGCTGGTCCCTGAAGCCAATGACACAGAGTAACTAGACCCAAGGAGCTGGAATTGAGGGTTGAGAAAGCTGACAGTTCCATGTTACCTCTCATTCTGACCTTCCAGTACCGTCAGGAATGGCCCCATGGGGAGATGGACTCAGTCAAGGGTGGGTTTCCCAGAGGCAATGAGACCCTCGGGACCTCTACACAAGGTTCTGGAGAGTTGCTTCTTACGGTGCCTTCGTTTACCCCTCAGAAAAAGTGGCAATTGAAAAGTCCAGCACCCAGGGGTCCTGAGTCAGTTCTGAGGGTAGGTGAGCTAAGTTTCTAGATGATCAGGAAAGCTACTCCATCTATCTCACTCCTCCCAATCTCTTTTTTATGAGCCTGGGTCTGCCCCCATTTTAGCTACCTGACTGCGGAAGCTTCCATGGATAAAGCCACAGAGAAGAGGCCTAGGAGAGACAGGTAAGCAGCGGCGGCAGCAGCTTCCCAAGAATCTTTGCTGCAAAACTCAGCTTGTGCTGAGGAAAGATCACCCTAGGCAACAAAGTGCTTGGGAGGGTGGTGTGTGGGGAGGAAATGGGTGAGGAGGCCCCATATGTCCCATTACACCGCCAGGGCCACAGTGACTCCTATTCCCAATGAGACATGAGTCACTTGCATTCTCTGGGCTTCAGCGTCCTTACCTGTAAAATCACAATAGCTAATTTACATTGGAACACTTGCTATGCGCCAGGCACTGTACATTTGCATTACATGAATATCATTTTATCCTCACTGCATCCTTTGAAACTATTGTTATCCTCATTTTACAGAAAGGGAACCTGGGGCTTAGTGAACTTATGGCCTATATGCTGGGAGGTGACAGAATAAAGATTTAAATCCTAGACTGAGTTCTAAACAGCATTTTCTTTTACTGCTGAGAGCTGATTTTCTAGCTTTTTCTAGCAAAGACACTCTCTTGAGAGGGGGCCGGAGTCGGAAGCCCAGGATATGAAATGGACAAAAGCAAGCCACTCTCATATTTTAGCTCCCTATTCTCAGCCCAGCAGCCTCTCCAGGAGTCCCCTGCAGAGCATCCTCCTCCCATGGCTCTTAGTGGCATCTGCAAATAACTGTAGATGATCTCTGAGTCAATGAGATGAGTCAGATGGATGGAACCAGGCAGAGGGTAGTAGGACCGAGAGGGGGGCCTACGGGTTATCGATGTCATCCCGCAGCACGTTGACAGTGTAGTACACGCGGCCCCGGAAGTAGAGGCGGTGGAGGTGCTTGGTGAGGTCCTTCCTCCAGCTTACGTACAACAGGTTACAGGTGAACTGGTCAAAGCTCTTCAGCTGCACAGTGGGGGAGGCAAGGGCAAGGGAAGGAGAGGGAGAATGGCTTCCTGCAAGTCTCAGTTCAGCTCAAAGCTCAGGGCTGGCAGAAAGCCTCTGGGGACCCGTCCTGGCCCACTTGGATTACTCTGTCCACTCAGCTTCTCCGCTTGTTTAAAGTGTCCAGTCATGGGACTTCTCCCTTCTTCACTCACTCACATGTTCATTCCTTTGCCAAATACTGAAGGGCTTACCAAAGGCAAGACCCTCTAGCTCCTGTCTTATTCTGAGAGCATATGAGCTTCTGGAGATTGAGGACAGTGTTTTCTATTCTATTTATGTTCTTAGTTTTCTGTCCCCACAACTTGGAACCCGGTTCTGTATACATGGGTGCTTACTGACCAAAGATCCAACAAAAGTGCCAAAGTGTGAGAAGTGGCTTCCCCAAGAAAACAGGTTAAGCACAGCCTGAGAGAGAGCATTAGGCTGGAGTCCTAGCAGAGCCTTGGCTCTCACCATTCACCATTTATGTGCTAATAAGCATGAGGGAAATTGTAATGAGTTCAGTCTAGCCAAGAAACAGACAATTACAAGGGTGTAAAGAGTGTTACAGCAGAGGGAAACTCAAAATATTGGTTAAGTAAAGGACAGAGTTTGGTAGAGGAAGCATGGAGGAGAAAGTTAAGGAGGACTTGAAGGAGGTGACAACAGAAGAATCTTGAAAAGCGAGCAGGCATTAACCAAGTGAACAAGGGATAGCGTAAGGCCATTCTGCGAGAAAACAGCAGGTGCAAAGGCTGGGCGGTGTGGCATGGTGCCAGGCTGAGTCATAGCCTTTGCCCCACAGAAGAGCAGCTCTGGCTGCTGATCCCAGTTTTCAAGTGCTCTGAGCTCCCTGAAGCAAGAGTTCTGGGAATGGAAGGAACAATGATCATTTCCACAGTATGCTGAATTAAACCCAAATCTTGTGGTTCTGGGAGCTTGAAAGACCCAAGGAATTAGTCTCAGTGTGTCAATAGCAAGATCAATGCCCTACCTAGGTTTCTGACCTTAAGTTCCCAGAAAAGGGAGAGGTCATACACCCTAGCTTGATTCCTGCTTCCTGGTGGCTAAGTCCACTGAGCATTCCATTCTTATTAGGCTGGAAAGGAAAAGAGACACAAGAAGAACTTACCATGGAGTTGAGAACGATGAGCGTGACAGCCAGGAAGGTCAAGGTCTTAAATCCATCCAAGTCTTTGTTTCCCAGGACCCCGTAGTACTGACTGGGGATCAAGCCAACCTGGTAGATCACGAGTTGTTCTGGGGGCAAGGAGAGAAGTCAGAAATCAGTAATGAGGGGTACAAAAAGGAGGGAGGCTTCCTCTTGAGTCCTTGCCTCATTATTACCCCAGAGAAGGAAAAGGATCGAAAACCAGGGCTGCCCTCCCGCCTCTAGCCTGGGCTCACTCACTCACCCAAGAGGGCCAGACACAAAAGGGTCAGGAACATCAAGGCATTCTGTGATGACCAAGAAGGAAACAAAACCTTCTGTATCTGCAGGAACCGCTGGAGAAATTGCAGATCTAACTTGGGCCTGAAGAAGAGAAGCAGAAGCAGAAAGAAATCTAAGAGGGCAGCTGAGCCTTAAAGAGCAGTTACCAAGCTTATTACATTCTGTGGTGGGGTCCAGGCCGTTCAGAAAGAATGGTTTACAAATGCTGAAGACGGTAGGTCTGGAACAGACCAGGGATAGAAAGGAATTTCTTTAAGTTGCTAAATGCTCTGAAAAGTTACTTACCAAAAATCTACAGCAAAAAACTTAGCTAATGAAGAAATTTTAGCCATATCCTCTTTATGGTCACGAAGAAGACAAGGAAGCCCACTCCATCAAGGATTTTAAAATCCTGGCTAAAGCAGTAAAGCAAGAAAAAGAAATGAGGCAAAAGGACTGAAAGGAGAGAAATTAAATTGTCGTTATTTGCAGAAATGTGATCGTTTCCACAGGAAACAGCAAATCAGTAGACAAAATGTTGGAAATGAAAGTTCAGCTAGATATAGGGTTAACAAACATAGATCAATAGGTTTCTATACCAACAATAATTAACTGGAAAACATAAAGAAAAAGTCATTTACAAAAGAAAAATGTAGAAAAACTATAAAATATCCAGGAATTAACTTTTAAAAAGAATGTATATGACATTTTAGAGGAAAAACAAAAAGTTCTACTGTAGGATATGAAAGAAGAATTAAATTGACAGAGCTGGCATGATTTAATATTATAAAGACCTCATTTCTGACAAATGTTATCTATAAATTCAGTGTAATACCAATCAAAAGCTGGACTTCTCGAAAGAACTTTATCCATGAATAGCTTAAGAAATTGTGAAGAATAGGAAAGGAGAAGGAAGAGACCCAAACCATCAAGTAATTAAGATATAACATAATACAGGGCTGAAGTAATAACAAAGTACAGTATTAATACAGAAACGAAAAGACCAATGAAACAGAGAGACCAAAAAAAAACCCCAACACAAATCCCCTCAAAAAAAAGCTACGGTTACATGGGCACCTCAGAGAGGTTACATTATAAGGAAGGACATAGTAATACTAATAGTTGTCAACACTTACTAAGCACATACTATGTGCCCAGTACTGTTCTACATGTTTTATACTTCTTCAAGAGAACCAGTGCAGAATTCATTTAATTGTCACAACCCTAAGATATGGAGAATATAGCCTATTTTATGAAAGAGGAACTGAGGCAAAAGAGATTAAGTATGTTGTCCTGTCACCCACCTGGCAAGTGGCAGCCTTAGGGCTTGAACATGTACAGCCTGGATCCAAGAATCTGTGCTCTTAACTGTACTACAGAGCTTCTCTAATTTTTAATTATTAATTCATTAGTTACTTATTGAAAATGGTGGAGGAAAATTTAGATTATCTCAAATCATTTACAAAAAATTAACTTTAAAAACTCCAAATGGATTAAAAAAGTAAATGTGAAAAGTAACTATTTAGTTATTAATAGAAGGAACTGCAGAAGAATATCTTAATTAAGATATAACTGGAAGGTATTTGTCACATAAGATCCCCAAGCCACAAAATATAAAGGGGAAAACTAATAAATTTCACTTAGAATTAAATATTTTTGTTCACAGTATTATAGATTAAGTTAAAAGACTTGGAGAAAGTACTTGCAGAGTAAAACCACAAGGAATTAAAATCTAAAGTATGCATGGAATTCCTGCAAGTCAGGAAAACAAGAAATCCATAGAAAAGTGGGAAAAGGATATAGGTGATTCAGAAAAGATTCAGAAACTCGAATGCTTAATACATAAAAATTAATACGATGGGATACCACCTTACAAACATCAGACTGTTAAACATTAGAAAACCAAACAATATCAAACGTTGGAGGCGGGAGTAATGGAGAAACCTTTATTTAATGCTGTCCGGAAGCATAATCTGGTGTGGCCATTCCAGAAAACGATTTAGCAGAATTAGGTATGTCCTAGCATACTAAACTGGTGTGAATAATGCAGAGAAATTCACCCACAACCATAAGAAGACAAGTGCCAGTATGGCTTGTGGTAGTTAAAATTGGAAGCAATGTAAGTGTTCATTACTAGGGGAATGTATAAGCAAAATGGGGTCTAATGCACTTCGAGTAGCACCATGCAGCAGAGGTGAAAACTAGATTAGTACAGCATGTGTGATCTCAAAAACGCAATGCTGAGATAAAAAGTTTTTAAAAGAATCACATCATGTTATCATTTATATGAATACAAAACCACTATATATTTTTCAAGATAACACATACGCAAACTTATGTAAAGTGGGCTGTAAAGACGCTCTCTTAATACTCCCAAGTGGATGTCTCAGAAGGGGAGTGAAATGGGATTGACAATAAGGAATGAAGACAGGAAGATGATAAAACACTAGAAGGGCTTTGCACTGGCCCACAGTAAGCCAAGAACTGAGAAAAAGGAACAAGCCAGTTCTGCGTACTTGAAGATCTTAGAGAGAAAAAAAAAAAAAAAAAAAAAGCCAGTTCCGAGAGAGGATCCCACACCCAAGATGCAGGGGTTGGCAGAAGTTCCCGCGAAGCTGGAGGGCGGCCTCGGATGGGAGGAGAGAGTGGGCGCCCCTTCTGGAGCTCCTCTTGCCCCGGGGCGGCGGCTCTTCAAGCGCCGTGGACTAGGGCGTTAGGCAGTGGAGCCCCTTCCCCACACAGCCCTCAGTAGGACGCCTTGAGGCCCGGACCGTCCTCCCCAGTCACCCTGCTCACCTAGCGCCATTCCCGGGCGCGGGCCCCGGGACCGCCATGACCCGGGATCCGACCGATTCTTAAGAACGGTTTCTCCCGGGTCAGCTCCGGGCAGAGTACGAAGAGCACACTACTTGCCAGGGAGGGGCGGGGCCCCGGCGACCACAGAGACGCGCGGATAGAAAGGAAGGCTCCGGGCTACGCGGCCGCTCCCGGAAACGACTTCTTCAAGAGAACCAGTGCTGAGCGTTACAGTCCGTCGACCCTGCGCCTAGAGCGCCCCCTTCTGGATTTGGGAGGTTTCCTTTTTGACAAGAGGTACCAGAGAAACGTGACTTAAGTATTTTATGATAGGTATTTTAGACTCTGAATGTAGTAGATATTTCATACATTCTCCCAAAGAAGCCCTAGTGTTCTTTTAACAACAGAAATCAGGCTTCTGGTTGCAGTTAGAATAGAATCCAAATATTTTCATGGCATATGATTGGATCCTCCACTTGGTCTTCATTGAATGGCCAGTCTGTTTCCACTCAGGGTCTTTGCAATTGCACTTGTCTCCACCTAAGTCTTCCCCCAGCCTGGAGCTTTCCATGGCTGGCTCACTCCCAACATTAGTTCAGCAGCCACCAGCTCACCCTACCTAGAGTGTGTCATCCAGCCCCATCATTCCCTATTATATTACACATATATTTTCTTCATAATATTTATCACTGTCTGAAACCACCTTGTTTCCTTGTTTATTGTTTGTCTTCCCTTATAAGAATAAATTTCATTCGAGTGAAGTTTGACTCTGCCTTGCTTATTGCTGTATTCCCGGTACCTACTGTTGCTTCTGAGAAAGAAAATATCTACCAGGAAGGGCTCCTGGTGGCTAACTGGACTCAAAAAAACCAAAACCCAAACCAAAAACAGAAACCCAGAAACTAACAGCTGTCGCTAAACAGGAGCCTCTCATGCAAGCTGAGCTTCAGATAGAAACCTGCGCTAAACTGCCTGCTATCTGCACTGTGTTCCTACCTTGTGCTGAGAGCCAACCCTTATAAAGGTGTTCCTGGAAGTGCATTTCAAACAATAGGACTGAGATTTCCCCTGCCAATTGGATCTGAACAGCTATATCTTCATTAGCATCTCCACTGGTAGAACAGCTCTATTATGATCAATTGGGACAGTACTTTTTGGGCCAAACTGTGAAGGTTTGGAGTCCTCGTTTGCATGAGAATGGACAAATCAAGGACCAGAGGCAGGGACTTCTCTCTGTATAAGTTAGCAGGGCTGTAGCTGAAATAAGAGTTTGGACCAGAGTGAATTCTAGTATACCTGTGTAGCTGGAGTGGGATGGAACCATGCTACAAAGACGCTCTCTGAATACTCCCAAGTGGATGTATAATAGGCCAAGCCGCCTATTTCACAGTCATACTGTTTTATAATTGAGCTGTAACATTATTAAGCTATTCCACAGCCATGCTGTCATGCTATATCACAAATGAGCTGTTTACACAGAATAAAGTCTCCTCCTTCACCTCATCCCAAGTTGGGGATTCCTGTTGGCCTTGAATTGACGCTGAATTGATGCCAACAACCACCAGTTGACATTAAAATACTGGTAATATATAGTAAGTGCTTAATAAATATTTGTTAAATGTTGAAGAATGAAATGCTTATCAAGTGACCAATTATATTGCCCAAAGGAAGGTGGGAAATGGTTCAAGAAAACAAGAAGCATGATCTTACTGGGCTCTACATTTGAATCTGGATGTATCTTCCCATCTTCCTTCAGTTCTTATTGTCAACTATGTGCCAAATACTCAACGAGATACCTGTATCACCTATTCTCATGATGCTGGCTTGTTTAGCCGGGAAGGTCAACCAGTTGACAATTATAGTTGTCTTTATGAAGTGCTATGACAAAAGTACCATACAGCAGGGTTTTTCAGCCTAGGCACTATGGACTTTTTGGGCCTGATAATTCTTTGTTGAAGGTGTAGGGAGGCTGTCCTGTGTATTGTAGGATGTTGAGCCGTATCCCTGGCTACTAGATTCTAGCAGCACTGCCCCTGACCCAGTTGCACCAACCAAAACAATCATCTCCAGACAGTGACAATTGTGCCTTGGTGAGCGGGGTGAGGTGGGGAGGAGCTTCCGCTTTTCCAGCTACTGGACTTCTGGGCTATACTTCCTCACTCTCATACATAGACAAAGGGAGAACAAACTGGTCAAGAAAAAAAAAAAGAAAAATTTCGTAATAACTATCAAGTTTTAGATGATGCAATAGTTTCATTTCAAGGACTTTTCTTATAAATATATTTACCCAAGAGCACAAAGGGTTGATCACAAGAATATTTCTGCAGCATGTAGGTAATAGCCAAATCCTATAAGCAACCGGAATCCCCATCAAAAGAGGAGTGGTTAAACAAAGTACGACCCAATCACTTTGTGGTTGTGGCATCATCTTAATGGTTAAGAGTATGGTTAAGAGTATGTAACCTGTTCAGAGACAGGTTACATGGTTCAAATCCCTGCTCTACCACTTAATATCTGTGTGATCTTGGGTAAGTTGCTTCAGTTTCCTTATCTGTGAAATGGAATAATAATGTTTACATCAGGGAGTTGTTGTGGGAAATAAATTAATATATGTGAAGTATCTAAACAGTGCCTGGAAATGATAGGAGCTAAATGTATTACATAGTAACACGGAAAAAATGCCCATGCTATATTGTTTGTTTGTTTAAGAGTTTGAGATATGTTTCATTTATTTTTTATTCTTTTAATTACAGCTGACATACAATATTATATTAGTTTCAGGTGTACAACATAGTGATTAGACATTTATATAGCTTATGAAGTGAGCGCCTCAATAAATCTATTACCCATCTGATACCATACATAGTTATTACAATATTATTGACTATGTTTTTTTAATTAACTAGTTTTTTAGTTGAAAAAATTAAAAGCACATGGTAATAAAAATCTCACAAGGTGATAAGGTACATAACGAAAAATAAGTACATCTCTCATCCTAGAGGCAACTGCTCTTTACAGTTTCTTTGCAATCTTTCCAGAAATATTTTATGCATATGCAAATTTAAATGTGATTATTATTATGAACACTCCCCTATCTTTTTCCTTTTAAACACTCTGTCTTGAAGCTTGCTTTTTACACTTTATAGTATATCTTGAAGTTTGTTCCATATCGTACAGACCTACCTCAGTTTTTCCCACTGCATAGTAATCCGTTGTAAAGAGGAACTATCTATCTAGTTCCCACATTTTAGTGGGTTATAGTCTCTTGCTATTACATAGAATGCTGCAATGAATATCCTTGAACATAAACAAAATATGGTTAAGTTTAAAAGAAAGCATACTCCACATTTGTTTAAAAAAAAAAAACATGTTTGTGTGTGCATAAGTATGCATCCATTGAAAATAATTGCAATCTGTAGAAATTAGGAATGAAAGGACTGGAGAGTGCAAAAGATAGTTTGAACAAAAGAGCCTGTATGTTTAAAGTGGTTTTTTTTTTTTATTTAAGTGGGTTTTAAAAAATGTTAATTATACAACCTACCCAGAAGTTGTTTGGCAATATAGAAATAATCACTTCATCTTCTGGCCCTCACAGCTATTGGTTCATACCTCAGTTAAAGACTTGTTCCTGCCTGCCTCCCTGTATCCTTCTTAGTTATCCTCACATCCTGCAATACCCAGCCCAGTGCTTGGCACATAAATGGTTTCCATTAAACAATTTGAAGTGAATGAAGCTACTCCTCCAACCTCAGTTTTCCTGCATATAAAGTTAGGATGTTGAAGCAGACTCACAGCTCATGGCCATCATGAGAAATTACCAAGCAATGTGAATGTTCTTGAAAAAGATGCAACAGTGTGTAAAAATACTAAAGAATGACAATTCAATCTGAAATTTACCCTATGGGCTGATCAGGTCAAAACATCTGAGATGTAGCTGGTTCAAAAGCCCGTGGCAGCTTCCACATATGAGACCAGTCTGTTAAGTTTGTTTCCAGAGTAAAGGAGGACAGAGCAGGAGAGATTAACTTGTTAGCTGAGCAGAACCCTGCTGTCAATTCTTCCAGATCTGAAACCATCTGGGCCTGTTCCCATCCTAGAAATAAATCACTGTGGAAAGATTGTGTCCCTGAGCTGCATGTTTGTTAAAAAGTTGGAGTCTTCATACTAAAAACCACTCAAGGGCACCCTGATCACGAAGAGCAATCTTAGAGCAATGTCAAGGATGGGGAAACTTTCCCCCCATCCCTTAAGTTCTTCTGGCTGGTTGAATAATTCAAGTGACATACAGCAGATTAACAGGATAAAATCAAATCTTAATGTGTGCACATGGGGAGTTCACATAAGCATGAAAATTCCAAAATTCCAAAAACAGTGAGGCAAAATGAGGTATATACGTCCTTTTGGACTAAAGAGTAGGTGGTAGGCAATTCAGAGGTATGTGAGAAAGAATAAACATTTGTAAACAATTTCTTATAAGGCCGTTTAGAAACGATGGGACAAAGAGGAATCTAGTGGAACAGATTTTTGCTTGGGTCTTCCCTGTCTGCCATACTTCATTCATTCGTGCTCAGGTGAATATGCTAAGGATCCCTTCCTGAAGCAGGTTTTTCTAACTGAATCTCTCTAGGCAGGAAGAAGGAGGTAAAAAAAAAGTCTTCTTGAGTTTGTTGGGCTTTAATTGTTTTCAGCTCAAAATAACCTGCATGCCTGCATGGCACATTCTAGGAGACTTGTTCCTTACACCCACAGTAGTGAAGAGCTGACTATAGTGGCAATGAGAATTCATTCAACATTCAGTAAGTGTTTACTGAGCACTCTATATGTGCCAGGCATTGTTTTAAGTGCTGGAGATACAGTAGTTTTAAAACAAAGTCCCTGCCTTCACAGACCTTAAGCTGATACATACAATAAGCAAGTACAATAATATTAAATATAAGTCATAGTGCTAAGAAAACTATAGAGGATGTCACAGGTTGAGTCCTCTGGGATGCACACCCTGAGATGTTTAGCATGCTAGATGTTGATAGAGAGTGCTCTTGGGTCCCATCTGTGGAAGAGAAGGGAAGGAGGAAAGATTGGGCAGAGGTTGAAATCGAGCTGAGGGGCAGGTCTGATGACAGCCTCAGTCAGTTCTATGGGGAACTCCAGAGCA